TCCTGGAAGAGGAGAAACCAACACAAATGACCACAAACCATGTGACCAGGACTATACTTTCATCCAAATCTCTTGGAAGTTGTCTTGCAGAAGTCTTGACTATCCTTGACTATCGTAGAACGTTAAATAAGTAATCTAAAAATGTTTTATACTGCCTACTGTTTGACAAGTATATATATATATTGATCTCTACAATTACCAAACAATGAACACACTACTTAAGAAAACAGACCTAGAGTGCTTAAATAGGTAAGACAAGATCATGCAGTTAGTGAAAAACACAGTCAGCATTTGAGCTCGTCTTTGACTCCAAAACCCATGCTCTTCCCATAAAACTTCCCTGTTACTGTTATACAAATAATGGTCCAATCACTCATGGATTGTATTACCAGCATCATTTAACAGAACATAGTGAGTGAAATGACATCTACTACAAATTTGGGTGAAATTCTGTATATTTAAAATAATAAGATCTATCCAAATGTCTAAGAGAAGAGCCAAAGACACCAAAGCAAAATAAAGCTGAAGATTAAAAAAAAAAGACTAGCCAATAGGACAGCAGAGAAAAAAATTTAACTAGAATAAACTATAAGCTTGCTGTGGATTATCAATGGAATTTTATTATTTAAAGATCAGGAAAGATCCTGCTACGTAGTAGAAGCTATAACATAACATACAAAGGCCTACAAAGAATCATTCCACAGGCCGGCCTGGTGGTGTAGAGGTTAAGTGCGTGTGCTCCCGCTTCGGCGGCCCGGGGTTCACGGGTTCCGATCCTGGGTGTGCACAGATACACTGCTTCTCAAGCCATGCTGTGGTGGCGTCCCATGTAAGGTAGAGGAAGATGGGCATGGATGTTAGCCCAGGGCCAATCTTCCTCAGCAAAAAAAAGAGGAGGATTGGCATTAGATGTTACCTCACAAAAAAAAATTAAATATAATAAAACAAAAAAAAAAGAATCATTCTGCAATGATAATGTTGCCCGGTGCTATTTCTACAGTGTTGGTTAACACTTTAGATTACTTGATCCAAATTTGCTTTTTGCAAATTTTTGAAAGGTTGCATACAAGAATGAAAATGGACAGAAAAGTAAAGATAATGAGAAAGATGTCTCAGTTGTAAAACACACTCTCTGCAGTTATTTAGCCTAGGGATAACAAAGCAAAAGGATGACTATCTTTTACAAATTGGTTGATTCTCACCGGAATCACATATCCACATATAAATATACAGGAAAAAATACCACTAATAAAACTTCTTTAATTATTAGGAAGAATTTTCAAACATTAGTTAACTACCAAGGATGGCTATGAATCACAATGTTAGATACCTTTAAAAGTAGCTTCTTCCCAAATCAGATTGACACTTTTCCCACAAATAATCAAAAATGCTATTCTCTTTCCCCACACTTTTCCAGTCTTTCAAAAGCTACTTCTCACTGAATACTACTATCGGGGGTAATATCAAACAAGAAAGGGTTATTTTATTTAGATTTCTTCCTCCAAAGCTGAATTTAAATTACGATTGTCCACTGGAAATACATGTTGGCAGAAACTACATACTCTGTGAAAAAAATTACTGATACATGAGAAGGAGGACTATCTCTAATAGTGTCTACTAGGAGTTCAAGTTAGGGGAGAATACAGATGTGAGTGACGTAGTTTCTTTCCATATTTGATCAATGTTTTAGTTTTGCTAAATAGTATTACATAGGATTTTTAATATAACTCATACATAGCTTTTTATTTACGTGAGATTTTTATAAGTGTATACTTCAAACTCCTGAAACAAAGTATAGGCCCTTGGAAGGATACCAAACTTTCAAGCATTGGTTTGATGCATTTCTGGGTTGTTGTTTTTTTACATCTTTATGTGGTAAAAGTGAAGGCATTACTTCAGCAAAGAATAATAGAAGTATGTAATAGAATCTAAACCAAACCACTAAGGATAACAAAACTATCTTTCTCTTTTTTTCAGTTTTATGATACACTCAGGCAAATATGGAAAATGACCAAACTGAAGTTACATATACTTAAGGAACTATTACAGCTTCTGGGAAATAAATTTTCTATATGCTCCATGATAAAATTAAGATCTACAGTTTCTCTTCGTAATCTTTATATTTCAATAAACACAATTTTCTTATTATTTATAATTGAAATGCAACTTGTATGAAATGAGCTTCTAACTCAATTTTTTTTAACTGTATACACACTTTCCCCAAGCCATTTGTTAAATAATTTATCTCTTCCTCCTTGGTTTGTGGTGCTTTCTATGTTTTTGTAATTTGTTTTAATATGCCACTTTGGCATAAGGATTATTTTGAGCTGAAGGCAACTGAGAAGAAGCAGATACAATAAAAGGTCTCTGCCCTCCTCCTATCTGCCTGAAAACAGGGTATAAATTTGTAAAGGTGTCCCCCCAACGCTCTCTACCAGGAAGGACAGAAGTTAATTACTCTTTATCAGCCCAGAGATGGCTCCAGAGGAGTGCACATAACAAACTTTACTAGCTAGGCCAAATTTTCCATTAGTTCCCCTATACATTTACCTTCCCACAATTTGCTTCCCTAGAAATTTAAAGTCCTTTGCCTTTGTCTTGTCATCTCTCTAAAAAGTTATTGTTCTTTTGTTAAAATGCTATGAAAGCCCAAATTGTAACCACCCCTTTGAGTGCTCCCATATGTATGCATAATGCACATGATAACAAACTTCTGTTTGTTTTTCTCTTGTTAATCTGTCTTTTGTCAGTCTAATGTACAGGGCCCCAGCCAATGAACCTAAAATGCACAGAGAGAAAAAAAGAGTTAAGTTTTTCCTTCTCTATACCTTCCAGATTAACTTTAGAAATAGGATACTCCAAGGAACCAATTGGGATTATGATTAGAATGTTATTAACCCCAAGAGATTGTTTGGAAAAAACCTGCATAGTATTTAGCCTTCTCAATTAGGAACATGAAATGAATCTCTACTCACATCTTCCTTTATGTTACTCAGTAAAGTTTTGTAGCTTTCTTCATGTAGGCCCCCTCATTTCTTATTAGCTATTTTTAAGTCACATTTTCTATTTTTAGTTCAGAACAGGAACTGCCTTTTATTTGTATTTTCTAACCAATTATTTTTGGTACAGTATAAAATAATTCTATGTTAATTTTATATCTAGCTGCCTTCTTGAATTTTTATTGATTTCTCTTGATTCTTAGGAACAAGAAACCTGTTCATCAAATGGTGTCTGAAAATTGCGTGTGGGTGGTGGGGCGAGCGGCATTGGTACAAGGGATTCATGTTAGATACTCACCTGTCTGGTATATTTTGACGTACACCAAAATAAACTACAGAGGGGCCGGCCCTGTGGCTTAGCAGTTAAGTGCACGTGCTCCGCTACTGGTGGCCCAGGTTTGGATGCCAGGCGCGCACTGACGCACCGCTTCTCTGGCCATGCTGGGGCAGCGTCCCACATGCAGCAACTGGAAGGATGTGCAACTATGACATACAACTATCTACTGGGGCTTTGGGTAAAAAAAAACGGAGGAGGATTGGCAATAGATGTTAGCTCAGAGCCAGTCTTTCTCAGCAAAAAGAGGAGGCTTAGCATGGATGTTAGCTCAGGGCTGATCTCCCTCATCAAAATAAATAAATAAATAAATAAATATAAATTACAGAAAAATTAAAAAGTTAAAGGTTATAAAAACAATTTATAAAAACATGAGAAAATATACAGTTAAATATTTAACTGATTTGGGGATGAATAAACAATTTCTAAGGATAAAAGGGATGGAAAAAAGTCACCAATGATGCAAAGACTTAGCTATATCAAATTCAATAGTTCCAAATGACCAAAGAAAATTAGTAGATAAACATCAAAATGGGAAATACATTTGGAACGGATGACAGTTAAATGGGTATAATCTTAACCATATAAAAAGCTCATAAATCAATAAGAGGAAAAACTAATTAATACCCAGTAGGAACATGGGCAGAAGAAATAAAAGGAATGAACAGATAATTCATATAAAAAAGATATCAAACACCAATAAACATACAAAACATTCAACTTCACAATCAAATTCAAATCAAAATGACAAAGAGATAGTATTTTTTGTGGCCTATTCAACTGACAAAGATTTGGTGCATCAAGACTGAAAGCTCAAGCACATCTGACAGGAGTGTGGAGTGTCATAACCTCTCTGGAAAGCAGGTTGGTAATCGGAATCAAAAGCTTAAAAGAATCCAAGCACAAATATGTATTTGTGAAATACTCAGAGATATAGGTAAAAAAAATGTATAAAGATAAACATTATATTATTATTTATACTAGTAATTGGAAGCAACTGCAATGCCCCCAAATAAAGGAATAGTTTGCGGTACATCCTTATGATAGAATATTAGTGCAGCCATTTAAAACATATTTCTGAAGAACATCTAATGGCTTGGAAAAAAGCTAATGACATGATATCAATTGAAAAATCAGAATACAATATTATATATAGTATGATACCAAATTTATAAATATATAAAATACATATGCATAGGAAAAAGGGAACAAAATACAACAGAATGTTAACAATGGTTATATTTGAGGGAAAGGATTATGGATAGCTTATATTTCATTCTTTACCCTTTGAGAAATTTTTCAGATGTTCTATAGTAAACATATTGTTACTTTTAAAAGGAAACACAAAAAGTAAATGGCATTTTTACAACTATAGCTGATAGGTATTTTCAAAATATGCCAACAAGCAATGCAAGAAAATTTTCACGAACAAAGCAAAATACAATTCTAAAAAAAAAAAAATCAATAGACTTGTTTTCTACCTGAACAACAGAAGATTTTCACTTTTTATAACTTGAAATTTCTTCACACAGCCAGCACCATTAAAAATCTTTTAAAATAAAGGTAGTAATATCTAACTACTAATGTTTACTCAGAAATACAACCTAAAAAGAACACCCTCATCTAATCAATTACAGGGAAATGTGCGATTAGAATATAGTGCTTACCTTTTTCACTTACACTCTCACTTTCAATCTCAACATCATCACAACTTGTATATTCAGGCGTGGAAGCCAATTCCTCCTCTGAACTGCTCAATGAAACCTGGCGCATTTTACCTCCTTTCTTTGATTTGTGAGGCTTTGGTGGTGGAGGTCTCACTGACTCTGACTGGTCGGAACTGAGAGAATCATTCCTTAACATTGTCTCCATCTTTTCCCGTTTCGTTTTCCTTACAGCTGAGCTAGGATCTAAGTGGTGTTGTTTCCTTAGTGAGTCAGTACGTCTCATGTCTGGTCTATCAATGGGTATTGGACTCCTCCGGGGGGTAGGAGGACTATGGTTTGTGGTCCTTTGTGGATAAGAACTTGGTCCCTGAGCCTCTCGAGTTCTTTCCATTGAATAAGATCGCTGATTTTCCAAGGCAGCTCTACGTTCAGATATAGATCTTTGCCTTGATGGTCGTTCCATCCTTAGCATAGAAATCCTGGAATCTTCCAGTTCAGCATTTGCCAAAGAAACATCACTATGCCTTCTCTCATGCCTTGCTCGAGACACTTCAGCATGAATACGCATTTGTTCTTCATAGGGCTGTGGCTTTACTGGATAACGGGCCAAATTTGGATCACTTCGATAACGTGCCTGGTATTCCTCCTCTCTCCTTTGTCTTTCATATTCATCTCTGCTCTCCACATCCTCATCATCTACAATATATTCTTTGGAATGCCTACGACTTCTCCTGTTGGAGTCCCTATAGTTTATATGATCAGATTCTTCATAAAACTGAGGTTCACGTTGAGACCTCCTATCAGCATAATCTGATGGAGATCTAGGCATTGCGCTATCTGAAGTAGCATACTGTGAATATTCCTCTCTTTCTTCTCTTTGGTCGTATCTTCTATTCTGATCTCTGGAGACTGATGGACTTCTTTTCCTAAGTAACCAAAGAAAAAGAATAATGAGAAGAGGAACATTCAAACAATTTCACATTTTACTGATTCACTGGTGGGGTGATGGATAAATTCAAATAGTTCTTTGGCTTCTTTTTTTTAAATTTCATTTTAAAGTCATGCCATAACAAAATTTTTAGCAAAGGTTACTTTTATTCAGTTCCAATAAGAAGTTGATATGGTTATTAAATGGTTGATATGGTTGATATCAACCATATGATTGATATGATTATTTGATATGGTTGATATGGTTTGGTTACTGATATGGTTATTAAACGCCTGACACACTACATATGGAATATACTTATGCCCTGAAATTAGATAATCAACACCATATTCTGCTGCTGCAAAATAGCCTTTATTGTAATTTCTTTGCTTAGCTTAATACACTTCACCTATCTTCCAACTGTTACACACAAGCTTAGAAAAATTCCACCTTCCATTCTCTCTATTCCTGACACCTTGATATGCAAGTTACTTGAAAACATAATAAAGCCAAACTGACTTGGCTTAAGAGTTGAATACTTTCTGACTAAAACTAAGTGTTGGCTGTTAAAAATCATTTTTCATTCATCATCTACCTAGAATACTCCTGGTATTGGTTCATCTAAATCTTCATCTTAACATTATATCTCCAATCCTTTACTGCTCTAACTTGAGATAAGCAATTTAAATAAATACCAACAATAATGATTTATTCATCACAAAAAGAAGCAAGTCTTTCTAGAAGTCAGAAAGGACTGCTATTTTTACTCCATCTTCATTAAGATTAAGGCCTGCTCGATGACACTTCTCTTCTCTGTCTTCACATCTGACCCTTCATAATTCCTTACAGCCTCAGAGGAAGAGACTCTACAAGTTCTCAAACTATCCCTCTAACACTGGTACAACCCGGTGGACCTTGCAATCACACATAATACTCTTTGTCAACAAAATATTCACTGTCCTCTTCTTTCCCACAAACTCAGATAATGTCAACCACTAGCTATGAGAAGCAACGGGACTGGAATCCTGAAGATGACACAAAAGGTTTAGAATACCTGTTATGGTGATTTTGCAAGGACACATGAACAGGAGATAATGAAAGAAAGGGGTCGGTTGAAGTTAAAGATGACCAAGATTAGACAGCTCAGTTGTGAATTTCTTAGACAATATTTTATTTGGCCCAAAAGCAAGAGCAGAGAAAGGATACATGTGGAATGACCCAACCCAGCAACATCATCATTCACCTCTAAAGTCTCCTCTGTGTCACCGAATCCCTTTCCCCCATATCTGGAATACAGTCTGACAATGCATTAATTAGGGTTTGTTAAGGAAACCAGAAGTCACTCTAGGTTTTCCAGGTAGTAAAGGTTTTAATACAGGAAGCAAAAGCTACACAACTGTTGAACCAGCTAAGGAATGAAGGCTAGAAAAGTTAATGCTGCTGTTCTTAGCCTAAAGAACCAAAAACAAAGATTCTCAATATGGTCTCTAGGAAGCTGCTGTGAATCTCAAGAGTCTTTGGGAATTGGCCATCAGTTATCTCAGCTGCCTATAGCATTAGGGTGGTCATTACCAGGAGCTTGTCCAGGACACTCTAACACTTGCACATCTGCCCATCTGCCTGCCAACAACTGCTGCCTGAAAATAATGACTTCTGTAACTCCTCCACCTTTCAAATCTCACACAAGCACATTGCCAGGGTAGACTCTAAGCTAGAACCACAAAAGGAAAAGTATTGCAGTGAATGAAGGAACTGGTCTGTTCCCCTACATGTTTTGTGATTAAGCAAGTGGATGGGATTTTTTTTTTACATTTATATCATTACATTTACATAGAAAACATTTAAGACAATTCAAATCTTTTAGGTTACGATTGTTACATAAAACCGTAGACTCCTACAGTTTAAAGTACACAATCAAAACAGAGCACTCAGAATAAATTTTATAGTATTAACCTACATAACATCCTATATATGTGTGTCTGTTATACATAATTTATTTTACTTTTTTGTCATTCTTTTTATACATGCGACTAAAGAAAAAAATACTCTGACATGGTAGCAATGCACCATGAAAAGACCACTAAAGTTAAGGGATCTGAGTTTCTTAGTCTTACTTTTGCTATTAACCAGTTATTTGGCCCCATATAGCCATTTAATCTTTGAGGGTCTATGCTTTAAAGTGAGAGACATAGATTATACATATTAACTCATATATTATTTTAACAAATATGTATTAGGTAAGAACTAAATGCCACACACCATAATATAGACTAGGAATACAGAAATGAGTAAGAGACAACCCTTGATTTTAAAGAAGCTGTCTGATTCTAAAACTCTCTTTCATTTCTTAGGGACTATGATCTTATAATATGGATACCACAACTTCATCAAGTTAATATGCCTGAATGAAAGCTTAAAGCATAGCAAAAAATAATGAGGATACTCCTGTCAAGAAGTAATTAACTGACTGGTGCCAATTTTCAACATACTCACATCTCATTAACTGGCTACTTATACCTACTTTATTGTACCAAAAAAAAAAAAAACTGAGATAAATGAGAATTTCTCTAGGGAACTCTAACAAATAAGCAATTAAATCAGTTTCTTCTCAAACTGACCATCTAACCTCCAATAGATGCAGACTTTATGTTAGGAATTCAAATACATTTTGGTATGTTAAAAATGATATAACAACTTTTTCCAATCTAAGTTAATTAATATATTTATCTCTAAAATGATAACAGTTATTCATAAACTTAATTTAATATCAGGAAATTGATATTGTTCCAAGAGTCAGATTCTAGTGTTTCTCAAATGTATATGGTACATAAGAAAACAATTTCTTTTAAATTTCATTTAGAGATTGTTTAATTAAATAAATTCTAATTTCCCTAAAATTCAATGTGGACTAAATAGAAATTTTATAGCTATATATAAGTACATGAATTTTGGAAACACAAAAAGGAAGTAAAATGTGATTTGTTAAATGAAAGCAGTATTACCTCATTCCCATAGATCAGTAAGACAGCTCATCAGCTGAAGTTCACTTTTGTGCCTTTGTATTTTCCCAGCATAATATTATTCATCCTATTTACAATTATCTAGTTAGTGTTCTGTACCATCCCAGTAGACTTTAAATTTTGAACCAGAAAGGACTGTGTCTAATATACCTTTGTAGCTCCAGTATTTATTCATTCATTCATCAAATATTTATTTAGGACTTACTATGTGCCAGATATGATTTTGGTTGCTGGAAATACAACAAAGAAAAGACACATAAGGTCCTTGCCCTCAAGCAGCTTTCCTTCTAGTAAGGGAGACAGACAGTAAGCATATAAACAAATAAATTAAGGTAATTTCATATAGTGATAAGTACTATGAAAGAAAATTGAAACAGGGTAAAATTATGAAAAGTGACTGAGGAAACCTACTTTTGAAAATGAAGGTCTTTCTGAAAGGGTACTTTTGAACTAAGACCTGAATAAGGTAGTCACATGGAATGTAGCCCATTTATATAAAATATACAATAAAGGAAATATTTTGAATATTCTCATTGAGTTGCTATTCTTTTCTTTCTTTTTTCTTTTACTCAGAGCTATTATATAACACAGAAATCTGCTGAATTCTTAATTGTTGTTTTATTAAATCAAGGATTTTCCAAGTTCCTCTCCAGAACCCACCTAAAAGCAGTCCACTAAGTCTTTTTCACATACTCCTCCCTTTCGAAAGATTTCATGATCCCAAACTGGTAAATTCCAATTCCCCATTATACTTAATCTCAGCTGGGAGTCAAAAGAAAAACAAGCAGATTAAATCAGAATGGATGGATACTGCTTTTATAATATTATCAAAATACTTACATGCCTTAAGATTGTTAACAAATTAATCTCTAAACTGTGAAACTTAAGGCCATTCAAGAAAGTGAAGTAAAAACTTTCAGAAAATGTTAAGGGAGAAACTAGATATTTTGAAGGCAGTTCAAACTACCAATGACCTTCTTCCTCACTGCACTTCTTTGCTAGGTGATCTTATCCATTTCTATCCAGGAGTGTCTATAATACTCTTTAAAATGTTAAGTTTCATGAGGACCGGCAACCTGGATCTAAGGAGGCTGGCACAGAGTAGGTGCTCAATAAACATCTGTTTAATTAAAGAACTGATTAATTCTCCTTTAGATTATCTCTACTTTTCATGGCTTGCTCTTTTCTTCTATACTCAAACCCACTGATTTGCTAAAATAGTCTAGTCCTTCTCTTTCCCCTACTGTTCCCATGGCAGTAATAGCACCTTAACTGCAAGGAAGGAACTACTTGTATTAGTAGTGTAATTTAGCTCTATCATATGTTAATTTGGCTTTTGTTGTTGGGCTTTAGAATCCAACTATTGCTTATAAAATGACTTCTTTGACAAAATGTATTTTGAGTGTCAATCACTTTAGAAATAAACATTTAGAACAAAACCTCTTTGTAAACTAGGGATTTCTAGTAACAGGGATTTAACATCACACTGGGTATTACAGGTCAGAGGTAGGGGGAGAAAAGAAACACTTCATTCTCTGAGGAATTAACACAAATTTTTGAAAGTAAGTAGGGTATAAATAAAGTGAATATAGCGTGCCTTTAATACACAGGAAGTATATTCTATTTTATTGAAAAATAAGAATATTTATTTATTATAGACTTCAGTTGCAAAAGAAAGTCTATTATTAATTAGCCCTTAGCAAGCCATCAAAGTGCTTTTTAAAAATCATACCTTAGGAAAATCAAATTCAGTATTAAATCCAGGAATCACTTTGTTCTAGAGATTACGAAATTTGCCTGAAGCATGTGAATCATACTGTAGATGCTGATTTGTACTGGATTTAAGTAAAAATAGAACAGTGGTCATGATTTCTGAAATTGGGATGACTATTGTCATTATTTAACATGGAATTAGGTTTTTAAAAACACACTTTAAGGTATAGTACTCATAGTATATTAAAGCTATACTAGAAGCAAG